TTAGCCTGGAGAAACATAAAGATGTGGTGATAGAGAAGTACAGGTCATTTGTTATTCCTGTATTTCCAGAGTCCAAGAGAATGAATGAGAGGAAAAAATCCTTAAGAGGAGTTTAATAAAACATACCGACACACTAAAACAATAAAGGAAAAATTGAAACTGATAGAAATATTGATAAATTCAGTTTGGTTAATATTAAGAATTTATATTCACTATACTCTTCACAACTCCACTAATCAAAATGTATTGTAAAGTGATTGAAAAGACAAGCCACAATGTGGGTAACGATATTTGCAATACATTTAAAGAAGAAAATACTAGTATCTAACATATATACAAACTCCAAAAAGTAAGAAATACTCAAACAATTCAATAGACAAAATGGACAGAAGTCTTCATGACTGCAAGACTGCAGTTGTTTCATGATAGGCCTAAAATGATTGAGGTCCCAAGGAATAAAATTACTCATTTTTTTCACGTATATAATTCAAAAAGAAGGATGTAAAACAAATTGGTGGAATAAGTACTGTTTTAACCTTTCTTCATTTCTACATATTTTATTAAACTGATCGTAAAATAGAAATATTAAAACAATGATGTTAAGGAAGAGAAATACATTCATAAAAACTTCTGAAAAAATGCTTATAAACAGGAAAAACCAGACTTTTCATAATGACTAAAAGGTTAGTTCTCCAATAAGACATAGAAATCCTAAACGTGTATGCATGCAGTAACAGAGCTTGATAAGACAGAAAGTAAGAACTGAAAAAACTGAAAGGAGAAATAGAAATATCTAAAATTGTTAGTTGGAGGTTGTACACTCCTATCTCATTAATTGATAGAGGAAGTAAATAGAAAAACACTAAGCATATAGAAAATTTGAAAAACACTATGAACCCAACAGATCTTTTGGAAAAAAAATCTCAAATTAAAAAGGATTGAAATCCCATTGTGTATATATACCACAACTTCTTTATCCAATCATCTATCAAAGGACACTGGTTGTTTCCATATGTTGGNTTCTATTTTTAGTTAGATAACTCATTTCATCTTTAAGTCACACAGAAAATGTCTAGAACCATATGATTTCACTGATATGTGGGATATAAACCCGAAAGCAACAAAGGAATAAGACAAGCAAAAAACCAAAAACTCATATGAGTTTAGTGGTTCCCAGAGGGTAATAGAGGCAGGTGGTAAATGTGGGTCAACGGGATCAAAGATATGGTGATGGAAGGAGAACTGACTCTGGTGGTGAACACACAATGTGATATATATATATATATATATATATATATATATATATATATATATATATATATATATATATATATATGATGTATTACAGAATTATACACTTGAAAACTATGTAATTTTACTAACTATTGTCACCCCAATAAATTTTAATTAAAAAAACTTTATAGATACTGAATGTGTTCTGTAAGCAATATACTTTTATTGAAATAATCATATAATTTTCTCTTACTTTAAGTGATTAATTTGGAGAACTGTATTCATAGTTATTTTAACTTTAAACCTACGACACTCTACTAGAACAAACTCAAGGTTATCATGATATACCATCCTTTTAATGTGTTGCTCAATTTTATTTGCTGGTACTTTTGTTTAGGACTTTGCTTCTATGTACATAAATATGAATGCCTTTAATTTTTGCTTCCACACTGATCTTGTCAGGTAAAAAATTAATGAACGTTAGCTCCTCAAAATGCAACTTTTCCTAATGTTTGGAAATTTTTTTAGTAGTAGAGATATTTCTTTTTGAAATATTTGTTAGAATTTGTGTTTGAAGCTGTTTAATCCTGGTGTGTGTGTGTGTGTGTGTGTGTGTGTGTGTGTGTGTGTGTATTAAACTTACCATTCAATTTATTTCATGGTAATAGGATAATCCTTATTTTTTATTTCTTCTTGCATCTGTTCTCTTTTCAATGAATCTTTCCATTTCATCTAAACCTAAATGTGTTGAGTAAAGGTTTTCAAAGTATATTATTGTATTTTTAATATCTGCAAGATATGTAGCTATATTCTTTTTTCTATTTCTTATAGTGGTTTACTATGATTTCCCTCTTTTTTCTT